TTTTTTTTTTTTCCTTTTTTTTGAGACAGAGTCTCACCCTGTCACCCTTGGTGGTAGAGTGCTGTGGCGTCACAGATCATAGCAACCTCAAACTCTTGGCCTTAAGTGATTCTCTTGCCTCAGCCTCCCTAGTAGCTGGGACTACAGGTACCTGACACAACATTCGGATATTTTTGTTTGTTTGTTTGTTTGTTTGTTTAGCAGGCCCTAGCTGATTTCAACCCACCTGCCCCAGTATACATGGTTGGTGCCCTAACCACTGAGCTATGGTTACCCCATGGGTGGAAATTCTTGTTTTATTCTGTTTTTTTGAGACAGAGTCTCACCCTGTCACCCTTGGTGGTAGAGTGCACTGGCATCACAGATCACAGCAACCTCAAACTCTTGGCCTTAAGCGATTCTCTTGCCTCAGCTTCCCTAGTAGCTGGGACTATAGGTGCCCACCATAACACCCAGCTATTGGGTGGAAGTTTTATACAGGTTTAGTAATAGACTTAGAAAACAAAATGTATAAATTAGGATGGTTTAGATTACAAATATAAAACTTGATTTAAATAAGAAGGGAGCTTGGTAGTTTGTGTATGAGGATGCCAAAAATCTGCACCTCACCTCTGCCAGCCACAGTCATGGTGGTGTTACTGGAAGTTTTGATTCCTGTGTTCTTGAGATGGCTGTCAGTAGAAGTTGGAACCCTGCTTTCTTGTTTATGATTATGGAGGTGACAGACAATGGCTTTTCATGTCTCTCTCTTTAGAGCCAGAAAAGCCTTTCCCTAAATCCCCCAGTAAACCTTTCCTTGTGTCCTAGCCATGTAAGTTGGCATGGGCCTGACCATTCCTCAAATAATAATTGGTGGAGCAGAAGTAGGGGAGTGAGAGGCAAGACTACCATGATTGATTTATTAAATACTTAGCAAGGAAAAGATGTTGGAAAATCAATTAAATTGCTCTTTGTAAAACTTTCAGAATATAGTTTATATTTTGATGACTATTTGATCAAATAGAAAATAAGCTCAGGGTAAACTTTGTATATACCAAGATTGGTGATATTAAAGTATTTGGCATGCTTCTTTTGTTCCTTTTTAAACGGAGAAGTTTACATAGATCATACATTTCTTCAGAGACAAGTTCTTATTAACTAAATTTTAGTTACTGGTGTGAAATGGCATAGGCTGTTATCTGTCTGATCTTTATTTCCCTGGCGGAACAATCCCCAGTAACTTCTGCTCCAACCATCTGAGACTGAAGTGCCAGAATTTAGACCTTAATGCTCTTCCTGGTAGATCTCCAAGCTAATTGCTATTGTCATCTCTTTGCTGTCTTTCTTCCCAGCAGTCAAGTACAGCCAGCCCTGATGGCTTCTCCTCAATTCTGTTCAAAGAACTCATTGTTGCCACACTGCGCCCACTTGCCCCAAGGTGACTCAAGGCTTTGGGGAAATGCAGAGTAACTCTTCTTTAAGAAAAAATTAGAGCTGTGTCCTGTAAGCTTTGTCTTCTAGGTGCTGGTGTTGGTGCTCTAGCTTTCTCTTTTTTGTGTGCTGATAGCTTGTAGTAGGAGGGAAAGAGCAGCAGCACCAGCAGCACCAGCAGCTGCCGATGGTGCTCACTCTGTGTCGGGTGCAGTTTTGGGTGTTTTTTTGCATGTACTAATTGTTTAAACCTCAACACAAATCTTACAAGATAGGAAATGTTTATCTCTGTTGCACACCTGAAGAATGAAGCACAGAGAAACTGTGAACCTTGTCCAGGGCAGTCTGGCTCCTGAGTCTGTACTTTGATCACATCCCTAGCCCCTCTCCCTGCGTGGTGACCTCATATAAGCTCAGTACAGGCTTTTTTATTACATGAAGAAATTATATGAGTATAAACTCTACATGTCACAGGTAACTTTCTTATAGACAGGAGTACAGTGTATTCCCCAAAGTTAATGAATTCAATATAATTCCACCTATACCAGTTACTGAGATTTTTCTTGTAGCTATAGACCCTGATTCAGCAGATCTGGCCCCCACCGCTTCTCTTTTTTAGGACTTAGGTCTCTATATTTAATGGATCTTTGATGTCACAGTTCTGGCTATTTAATATTAGTAGCTTTAAACACATCTTTAGTAAATCTTGTTTTCTTTATTCCTTTCTCTTTACCTCCAATAATTCCTCTTAGGA